CAAAGCTACACAGAGAAACCCTGTCTCAAAAAAAGAAAAAAAAAAAAAAAAAAAGAAAAGAAAAGCTAGCTAAGTAAGTAATGTGGAGATTACATTTTTAGCACACTAGTGAAGTCACCCTAAAAGCTGGTGGCTCCTGTACCGAGGGTAGCTGTTCGGACGTGAGAGAGCAGCAGCTGCTGATGGTAATTTATGACAAACAGCTCTTCACAGATAATTGACCTGCCTACGGGAGTTTCCTGTAACTGAAAAAACATCAGCTTAATAATCAACATGCATGTGCCCCTTTGCACTCGCTGTTTCACTTTGCGCATGCCAACTTTTCCTTCTCCATAAGGAAGCTAATGCAGCCAGCTCACTCGGTCACATTGCTATCTGATTATTGGGGGCAGCTCTACCTCCTCAGGCTCCTTTTCGTCCTTTGAGTCCTGCTGCTGGTCCTTGCCGCCTTTTCCATTGTCCTGAAATGGGAGCAGCATCAGTAAACGTTAGAAGAAGGGTCTGGGACCCAGCTAATACTGTGCATTTTGACAAACCAAATGCTTTCTTTTTTTTTTTTTTTTTAAAAAAAAGTCACATAATGAGTGAATTTAATCCCCAATAAAATGATAGAAAGTACTTGTATTTGAAAATTCAAACAGTTATAAAGACATGTAAGCCAGGGACAGTGGCATAAGCCTATAATCCCAGCACTTGGGAGATTGAGACAGTAGGATCACTCTGAGTTCTATGCCAGCCTGGGCTACACTGCAAGACTTTGTCTCAAATAAAACAAAACAACAACAAAACCCAGACGACATTATAATTAAGGAGTGCCAATCAACTAGAGGCAGGTTACTGTGATCCAACTGTTATTTTGACCCCCCCTTTCCCCAAACCCCACATTTCTATCAAAGCTTGCCGTAGAATATTTAAATAAAAAGAAATAGTAAGCGATGCAGTAAGATACTGCATCTTTGTTTTCTGAAGAATGTTGAATTTCAAATCCTCTCATACATGTTTAAAAACAAACATAAGCCAAGAACCTGATTAGGTTTGGACTGATCTTGAGACGTTGACTCACTCATTTGACCACCAAAAAACGCCACCAAAGGATACTGAGAAGTAGTACCAATACAATATTAATAACCAAAAGAGAGAAAGAAAATGTTAACACGCAACACAAGTACTCCGAAAGACCTAAATCTCCATCATCTCCAGCCCCCACCACACCCCAGCATTCTACTGAATGCTCATAAATTCTCAACTGCTGAAGCTCCCAAGGTGCAGAGCTGTTATTACTGTTACTGACTGCAGCCAGGGCACTGTTTCACTGGAGCTCAAAGAGACAGAGCCACCGTAACACCACCACTATCATTTCTAAGCCTGAAATAATAATAATGCAACTGACTTTTTAAACATTGTTACTTTCATTAACTTTTCTTTCTTTTTTCTTTTTTTTTGAAACAAGGTCTTACTATGTAGCACAGGCAGGCTTCTAACTCCTGATCCTCCTGCCTCAGCCTCGAAAGTGCTGGGATTAGAGGCATGCTGCATCATGCCCAACTTCTTCATCAATGTTTGAGATAGTAATTAAGGTAAAGCAAAGAACACCTTTGATGTCTAACTAATTAACATGAGAAGGCTGTATAAAAATATAATAAACTCCCTAAAAAGCTTTTTAAACTGTTGGCAAGGGGAGAGTTCTCTGAAGAAGATGATTTATCTGGCTCATTTACTCATAGTGAGGAATTAAAATAATTTCCACTTCACTAAAAATGACTGCAATCCCAACAACAAATTATAAAATCATTGCTGTGCCAAATATCATGCCGTAGCTTGATTACATGTGGGTGAGGCACTGTGCAAAGGGTGAGTTATTGCTGGGTGTGGTGGTGGACAGGGTGACTTCTGCACTCTCTATACTCTAGAGGCTGAAACAGGAAGATCACCAGCGCAAGACCAGCAGGGGCTGCATTGTGAGATCTTGTCTCAAAAAGAAGAAATTGTGTGCATGCGGTCTCTGCCTCCAGGGAAGTTACAATCTAGGTACTCTATGATTTAGGATAGTATGTATATGAAACCCTGAAGTATTCATTTTCTTTTTATCAACATAACACAAATTCCAATGGAATGAACTAAAAGTACTGCCACTGGAGAGAATAGATAACAACATTAAAAAAAAAGCTGCCTCAAAGCCTTTTAAAATGATTTATAAATAATAGAAAGCAGAACTCTGTGTTAAGTCCCAGCTGTATATTGATTGCTTGTAGTTGTCCATTTCCTGAAAAGATTCTTTTATTTCTTGTTAAGATCTATTTTGTTTGGATGCACTCAGAAAAATCCAACTCATTGGGAACCTTCTGTTATACAGGCATTCCTTGGCTTTTGGATGATGAGTGAGTTTCCAGCTTAGTGAGGGGGAACAGTGCCATTCAGTCTGCAAAGTGTGAGTGTGGAGGTGCACACAGCACATTAAGGAAGAAAAAGGAGTGAGGAGTTCTTTTTCTTGGGGCAAAGAAACAGATTATTAGGGTCGGTATCAAAGAAGTAGTGAAAAAAGTATACAAAGGAGAGGGAAGGGTATTTGTAGCAGAAGAAACATAAATTCAGGAGTAAAGAAGGTGAGGCTTAAAAAGTACCTGCAGTCATGGGCTGAAGAGACAGCTCAGCAATTAAGAGTAGTTGTTGCTTTTGCAGAAGACTGGGGTTCGGTTCCTAGCATCCGTATGGTGGCTCACAACCATCCGTAACTTCCGTTCTAGGGGATCTGACTCTTCTAACCTTGTTGGGCCCCAAGGCATGAACGTGCTACACATATATACTTAGAGGCAGAACGTTTATACACATAAACAAATCATTATAGATGGGACTTAAAGCCAAAATGTTGAGGATTATGATAAATTGAGGGGTTTGGACTTTATTATGTGCTTTTAAAATAGACATATATTCACAAATTATTGTCTTAAGTTAATTCTGCCAGTAACATTGAGTACAGAGTATAATGTGAAAGACTTGAAGAAAAATGAAGGCATATTTTGCATCTTAAATATTGCACCATCCCTTGCTGTAGTCTTGGCTCTCCCAGACATTGTTACTACCTGTCCTAGTTAGGATTGCTACTGCTATGATGAAACATCATGACCAAAGTAACTTGGGGAGGAAAAGGCTTATTTGGTTTATGCTTCACCATTGAAGGAAGTCAGGACAGGAACTCAAAACAGAGCTGGTACCTATAAGCAGGAGCTAATACAGAGCCCATGGAGGGGTACTGCTTACTGGCTTGCTCCTCTTGGTTCACTCAACCTGCTTTCTTATATAACCCAGAACCACCAGGCCAGGTGGCACCACTCACAATGGGCTGGGCCCTCACCCATCAATTACTAATTAAGAAAATGCCCAACTGTCTTGCCTACAGCCAGATATTACGGAGGTGTTTTCTCAGTCAAGGTTCTCTCCTCTCAGACAGCTTGTGTCAAGTTGACATAAAACTAGCCAGCACAGTACCACAACCAGGTGACTGTACCACTGAGCTCCAGTCAGCTCAGCTAGTGCTACAACCTAATTCCTTCAGCTCACTTTCTCAGACAGTACTTGAATTGTCTATCTTCCTCTATTTGTATTAGTGGCCTCTGACTGCAAGCACCTGAATTTTGTCTCAGGGTTTTCTGAAGTCCAAATACACATGTATTAATATACCCTGGCCAGATGTGCTTGTAGGACATATGCAGAGGAGAAGCCATCAGACAAGGATGGGTAATCCCATGGGTGGGAGATTTCTAACATCTGTTCTGTTCTGTTTCCCACACTTCTTCGGTGGTGTTAAGCACCAGCTCCCCACTGCAGAACCTGCCCAATAGAGTATTTGTTTGGCTTTCTCTACTTTCCTATACTACTTCCTAACTCTTAACATTGTTTCCTGGAACTATATTCCAAACGAATGTGAACTCAAATACTTAGGTCTAGGTCTTTTTCTGGGAACATCCCAACTAAAACAGGTGTAATTATTAGGACTTGTGGCACAATTGAATCCAAGGATTTAATAGAAGAAGCAATTAGAAGGTAATTAAGCATTCTTTTCTTATTCAGAAAGCTGAATGACTGATAATGCCATCAAGAGAAATAAGGAAAAGAGAATGGATTTGAGAAATGAAACTCTGTGTCTGAAATATACGAGTTACTTGCTTGGTTGCCTAACGTAAGTTTCTAGTAGGCATTTGAAGGCCACTGTGTTAAGAAAAAATTGTGAACAATCAGGTCCACAGGAAATGATGGACAACAGCATCATCTTCCATTTTAAGTACCTAATGCTGTGGAAGATTATGTTAACTGTGTAAAGATGTGTTTCTTTTGTTTACGCTGCATTTGTTTAACTATGTAAAGATGTGTTGCTGTTTCTTTTTTCTTTCTTTTTCTCTTGGTTTTCTCAAGACAGGGTTTCTCTGTGTAGCTTTGCGCCTTTTCCTAGAACTCACTTGGTAGTCCAGGCTGGCCTCGAACTCACAGAGATCCGCCTGGCTCTGCCTCCCGAGTGCTGGGATTAAAGGCGTGCGCCACCACTGCCCGGCATGTTGCTGTTTCATCGTGCCTGACTAAGGCACATGATTAGTCTAATAAAAAGCTGAAGAGCCAATAGCTAGTCAGGAGAGAGATAGGTGGGGCTGGTGGGCAGAGAGAATAAGTAGGAGAAGAAATCTAGGCTGGATAGAGGAGAAGAAGGAGGGAGAAAGAGAGGGACACGCCTCAGGCCAGAAGCCAGGCAGTGGCCAGCCAGACACAAGAGGCTGTGAAAGTCAGACACACAGAAGGAAAGAAAGGTAATAAGCCCTGAGGCAAAACGTAGATGAAGAGAAACAGGTTAGGTTATAAGAGCTAGCAAGAGCAAGAAACAAGCCTAAGCTAAGGCAGAGCATGGTTTAGGAGCTGATTGGTGGCCCAGAAGAGAAGCCTGCTACAACCCAATGTGCACCCTTGCCCATGAAATCCTAGAATCTGCTTAGATTCTTGGCTAGGAGACCAAATCTGTGGATATAGTTGAAAACTCTCCATACTCGCTCTCAATCAGTTTGTAACTTGGCAAATTGGAGCACCTGTCATCTTGGTGTGTAGGATTGTCAATCAAATATGATAGAGCATCCTTAATTAAGAAAAAAAGTAAAAAATAATTGTGATTGCCTACAGTATTAGATGATAAAGCTGCCTTTTACTTAGATTCCTTGTGAGTCTGGACAGGGAGTATTGACAGAGGGGGCAATTCTGGACAATGTTAGAAGCTCACTAAGGAGATTAGTTGGGAGGGACAGAAAGGCTCAAGATAAATGCTTGGTGACAAACACAAGTGCCTCTAAGAGGTAGCTATGGAGATATTCACAAGTGTGAGGATTTGAATTCAGCTTCATAATGTTCACACAAAGCCAGGCATGGTGGCATACATCTGTAACCCAAGAAGTGAGAGGATGGAGTTTGGGAAGAAAGGTGGATCCCCAGAGTGGGCCAGCTTATCTATCCAATAGATGAATTCTGGGTTCAGTGAGAGACCCTGTGTCCAAAAGAAAGGTGGAAAGTGACTGAGTCCAGGAAGTTAAGGCAACTTAATGTGTCATATGCTGAAGAGAAATCAAACATCAGAAGGACAGAAAATTCATCATTTAACTTATTGGTAAAAAATGCTTATGGCTTCTAAAAGAGGAAGTACCCTGAGTGACTAATATACATTATTTAATGTAATCTTTCTAGCAGGACTGTATTAGTAGCCCTATTTTAATGCAACAAAACAGAGAATTTGTTTCATTTGTCCAAAGTCACATGCAGATTGATAAGTCAGAATTACAGACAGTATCTTTTTTTTTTTTTTGAGACAGGGTTTCTCTGCATAGCTTTGCGCCTTTCCTGGAGCTCACTTGGTAGCCCAGGCTGGCCTCGAACTCACAGAGATCCGCCTGGTTCTGCCTCCCAGAGTGCTGGGATCAAAGGCCTGTGCCACCACCGCCTGGCTACAGACAGTATCTTGAAACTAGTCTTTACAACATTAATTCAACTATTGAGTATTTAACTACAGTAATCAATACTTAGTGAAAGCAAAAGTTGAAGAATGAAGGGAAAATTAAATTGTTGAGACAGTCCCCAGTAAGTAGGAACTTACTTATGAAAGTTGAAGTGATAGCATTAATTTAAAATGTAACTGTTCTAAGAGTTGGGACCATGATTTCCAAATATTTTAATAGATTTGTTGTAATACATTAGGAAAACTTATACAGTATTGGCTATGTACAAAATCACATATAGGATATATATATATACATATATGTGCATATATAAAATATATGTATTTCCTGCACAGACATCCTAAGACCCTGTAGTTTCCCGGGGGATAAAAACATTTGATCCTTTCTTGGGTGATTGGGGCATCTTTCATTATGAGGTGACTTTCTAATAAGGTCATTTGCTGGGAGCTTGGGTTACCTTAGGATAGGGATGATTGCAGTAACTGGGCCTACTTTGTTATTGATAGGTTGAACTTTTGGCTGCACTCCCAACGTCAGGTAGAGGAGAAGAGGTAAAGGTTGAGTTGATGCTAATGGCCAAAGACAAAAATCAATGATGGCTTCATGTAAGTTTCCATGAAAAGTCAAACAGGAATTTGAAGAACTTCCGGGTTACTGAACACACCTAGTCATGTCTTCATCTGCCTCTCCATCTGTCCTTTTAAATGTCATTAAACTATTAAACACAATATTAAACTATTAAACATATGTGTCTCTGAGTTCTATGAGAGAGCTAATCCTATCAAAGGAGGGACTGACTGGTAGGAACAGGAACTCTAGTTGGTAGGCAGTTCAAGTGTGCTATTTATAATTGAAGTGAAGAAGAGGTGGTCTTGAAGGACTGAATTCTCCACCTGTGAGATGTGACTGAACTGAATTCTCCAGCTGGTGGCTACTGGAGAACTGCTGGGAAGGAAAAGACTCGCTCATCTGCTCACAGAAGTGTTCTGTGCTGAATTTGAGAGTGAAGTAAGAAAAAAAAAACCCTTTGACTAGAAGTGTGTGGTGGACTGAAGGTAACTAGAACAACACAACTCAGCCTTTATTGTCTAGATTTACTGAATCCCACACACTAATGGCCTGACAGAAGAAACATCCCCATTTCTCAGGATAAGACTATTTATTTCCTACTACTGTTTACATACAGTGTACAGCATTCTAATATAATTAAGAGATTCATTAAAAAGCAAGAGGAAAAAAATCTAATTTGGGGGTTGGAGAGATGGCTCAGTGGTTAAGAGCACTGGCTGCTCTTCCAGAGGACCTGGGTTCAATTCCCAGCACCCACACGGCAGCTCACAACTGTCTGTAATTCCAGTTCCAGGGGATCCAGCACCCTCACACAGAGTATATACAGGCAAAACACCAACGTAAATAAATAAATAAATAAATAAATAAATAAATAAATAGTTTCAAGATATAAAGTATTCACAGAACTAGATATAGATAGAGCTAAAATACCAGAATATTTGAAACTTTAAATAACTATGATTTATAGTTATGATTAATGTATAAACAGATTACATATTTTAAATATGTAATATTCCATAGCTCATTACAATTATATAATATACAACTTCTAATCTTAGCATTAATATAAATGATAAAATAGTTATAATTAAAAAACTAAGCTTGCTTTTCTGTTTCTGTAATAAAACACTCGGACTAAATGCAACATAGGGAAGGAAAGGTTTATTAGCTTACATTTCCAGATCACAGGCCATCGGGAAATGAAAGCAGGAACTCAAGTAGAAACCATGGTGGAATGCTGCTTTCTGGCTCAATCTCTGATTTGCTCATTTGGCTTATGCTCAGCTAGCCTTCTCATAAGAGCTGGGGCCACATTCCTAGGGATGGTGCTGCCCACCGTGGATTGGGACCTCTCACATCCATCATTAATCAAGATAATCTCTCACAGACATGGCCACGGGCCAAATCTAATTTCAGCAGTCCTTCACTTGAGTCTCCTTCTGATGACGCTAGACTGTGTCAAGTTGATAGCTGAAGCTAATTAGGACAAATACAATGGAAAAGAAAGATAGCATTCATAGTTTAGTGTTTAGAGCAATAACATGAATACCATAAAGAAAAGCCAAACTGAAATTCTTGTTATAAAAATCATAGTATCAGAGATGAGAAATTCCTTTGGTAGGTTTGTTAGTAAAGTGGATTCAGCAGAACAATCAGTATCCATGAAGGTAGGCCATGTTTAGACTCATGTCTAAAATTCAGTTCGGGAAGTGAGGTAAAAAAACAAAACAAAACAGAACCTTTATACTAAATGGTTTAATTTATATGGAATTAGAATTCCAGAAAATAAGAGTGAGATAGAAGAAATTTGAAGAATAAACTGGCTGATAATTTTCCAAATTTTATGAATTACAATACATCATAGATTCAAGAAGCTTTAAAAATTCTAAGCAGGATAAGTACAAAGAAAATCATCTCTTGGCACAAATAAAGAAACTGGCTATTGCCAGGTATGGTGGCGCACACGCCTTTAATCCCAGCACTCAGGAGGCAGAGGCAGGCAGATCTCTGTGAGTTGGAGGCCTGCCTGGTCTACATAGTGAGCTACAGGACAGCCTGGACTACATAGTGAGGTCCTTCTTCAAAAGGATAGATGATAGATAGATAGATAGATAGATAGATAGATAGATAGATAGATAGATAGATAGATAAGATAGATAAGATAGATAGATGGTCAGACAGAC